AAAAAAAGGAAAGAAAAGGAATAAAGAAATTTTCCTCGACAGGCCACTGATACCCATTTACACTGCCAACAACCTTGTCCAGTAATTTCAGTACACCATATTTGGTTTTGGTGTTTGGTTTACTATTGCTCCAACAATTTAGACTGTGGGTTAACAGGTAAGGCAACTTGTTCTTCACAATCTACCCTTACATTGCTCTCCTATATCGACATATAACAACAACTTTCCTACCTACCGCACAAACTAAGATGTTGAATAGCTTTAGTATGTCGGTTGAGGTATTTGTCTATGCTGAAACGCTGGAAATTTGTCTCCATTTTGCGAAGATTATTTAAAAATGGAAGATACTCTTTAGGATCCTGAAAAAAAACGTGGATTTACGCAAATCAGCATTATCGGCTTCCCTCTGACATAAAAACGCAAAAATTAGGTATTCCACTTTTGTTCTCACCTTCTGTGATTTTTCAGCGACCATAAGTACTAATTCGAAGTTGTACATTCCCAGTGCTACGTCATACATTTGATTGACGTCTACCAGAAAGAGCACATATTTAAGGGCTTCCTCTGACGTAACTCGTTCTGTTTCTGTTGTATTTGTAGGATTGGCTTGAGTGAAAAAAAAACTCTCGTTAATTAATGTGATATACATTATGAACAGCTCCTAAACCTTCCCCCCTAGAAATAAAAGGAAGAAGCTAGTATCTAGGGATTTCGCTAGAAAAGGCTAAACAATAATGTATTAATAAAATACTGCGAAAATACCAATGTGGCAAATCTTACCGATGACGGGAAAACGGCATGATTTTGGCAAAAGTTGAATTGATCCACAAAACCGAAAAAAAGAAAAAAGCTGGAGAACTTAAGAAGAAGAAGTTCTTACACTCTGGAGTCGCATACATACCAACCTAGAAGAAATTTCGAGGTTTCTATTTACCTTTTTAATACGATTGAACCCAGGGTTTTAGCGCAAAGTGAGGAAGCAAATACGAAAGGTTTTGCTCACTGCAGGCGTTTGAAACAGACAAACCTTTTAAATCTTTGATTATCGTCAAAACCTTTTCTAATTCTGGGACATTCTTCTTCACATACGTGGTTAAGATGGACAGGAGATATCTAGAAATGAAGTTTAGCAGAATTATATGGCGTTCACATATTTACGCTCTGTTCTCTGATTGAGACCCAGGGACGGGCTAATTCCTCCCCAGTCGCCCCTATGTTGGAAATGCACGGGAATAGTTCTCATGCATGACTCGTTCCCATGTCCCTAGCACTTTCAGACGCCACCAATAAGTTACAAGTAGGAACTAGTCAGTAACGAAACCTCAGAAAACTAATACTACTTACTCAGACTAGGTTTACACTAGAGGAAATTGTTCCGGATTCGTGATGAATCCGAAACGTTTTAGTACCGGGTTGATTTTGCCGTTTACACGAAAGTGGACGAATCCGAAATAAAAACTCCCCGGTTTGGTCGTGTCTCCGGAGATTTTGAATCCGGAATTTAAAGTGGGAACTTTGAATCCGATAACTTTTGAATCCGGAAAGTTTTGTCGTGTAACCGCTTTTTTTCTCGAATCCGGATATTATTTCCGCCTGCAATCTTTTGAGTTTGCGGTGAAACCAAAATGGAGGATCCGGTGCTAACATTGCTGGCGGTCTCCGGTTGCCTAATCTTGTTGCAGGTTCAGGCGATAAATTTTATCATGTGTACCGCAGTATTTNGGTACGAATCCGAATACTCCAAAATTGATGAATCCGGAAACATTTACGAATCCGGAAAACTCTCCTCCAGTGCAAACCTAGTCTCAAAATATACTCAAACCAGTAATAATGACTCACTTGTTATGGCCTGCAGCTTCCAAAGTAGTGCGCACGGCATCACAAACTCGATCAACTTTACTTAACTCATCTCCCGGAGACACAACAGGGCTGTTGAAAGATGAACTATTTCAATAAGACTGCGAGCAGAAGTTGGGAGAAGTTACACGTTAATCACTTCTGGAAGTTTAAGGGTTAAAGAGCGTTGTCAGTATTTTCCGTGGGGGGGTTCTGAGATAAAGCTTCATTGGAATCTGAAAACATGTCAGGTTTTTGGCAAGGTTTTTCTATTTTCCCGAACAGATTGACGTCTGTTTAAAATAAGATTAATAAGCACGTACGTCTGTCTTGATTCAGAATAATAATCAGAATACATCGTGGTGGTCACGTCTTCCTCCCTGCCAGAATAAAAAATTAATCAAGAAGTTAAACACCCAATCGTCAACTTCCTAACATTTTTTTTTATTGAAAATCGTAAGTCAGAAAAGCACATACTTGAGGTCCGTGAGGAAGAGGTTGATAAAATTTACTGATTCCACATGATTCACAAATGTAGTCAAGTTTTCCAAGAATAGCTGCGAAGTACAAAATTTCATAAAGATATATATTAAAAGATTAAAAAAATAAACCAAAAAAAAAAAATGCTTGTTAAAAGTCACATGACCATTTCCTCGGCCTCGGCCTAGAGCACAAGAATCTTTTTTCCCCTGATTTCGTTTGAATTCAGCCAGAGAAAAAAAATTACACTCACCTTTGGATTATGGTCATGTATCAAGTTAAGATTGATCCGATGACGGCGCATGGCAGTAAAGGCCTCTCGATAGCTGAGCCTGAAAAACCAAGAGTACATTGATCAACCCATCTATGCCCAATCCTTTGTCAGAGTGGTTATATCAACTAAGTTGAAATTGTAAATTGGCCACCGTAACGAATGAAAAAGCTGACCTTTCGAGCGCTAGCCCTTCGTCGAGCGTTAGCCCTTCGCTCTGACGAAGGGCGAACGCACGAAACGTCAGCTTTTTTATTCGTTACGGTGGTCAATTTACAATTTCAACTTAGTTGATAGAACCAATTACCTTGTTACCCCCCACCGACGCAGCACCACAGTTTCTTTAGAAATTTTCAGCCTTTATCCTTTGTCAGAGTGGTCTGCGTGGGACACAATTGTCAGATTTTTAGACACGATCGTCCGATTTTAGACACTAGCATCCAACTTTGGACACCAGTGTCCGATTTTAGACCCTTGCGTCCGATTT